ATGCACAATTTGCCGAATAAGGGGGGTTGTCTATATGATCCCGCTTTGTCAAGACTAGATCTGAGATGGGATTATTTTGATGTGTTGAAATAAATTACGGTGCACGATTCAGCACAAAACTACATTATTTTCTAGAGATTGCAGATTATAGTTGACTGTAAACGAAAGGTTGTTCAAGCAGCAATAACAATCTTCTTGAACTACAAGATCTTATCTACAACATTCGAGTTCTGTTAACCATTAACTATATACAACCTCTTCAAAAATCCAGCGCTGTTAAATGAAGCAGTTTGTAATAGAACAAGTCTTTTTACTGCATTTGAGCTGAAGGGGAATCTTTATCTCTTCAACTTTCTCGTCTCATTCAACAAATGTTTCATTCCCATTACCATAAACTATAAACAAGCGTTTTACCCGATAAGTCTGTTCGTTTAATACTGCGTACTACATGTATTTGCATGTACATTGCCAAACGATTGTGCACTCGTTTTGAACTGAAATCTGAAATGTATGTATTTTTATCGACGTTTTGTCTCCCTTTTTTCTTTTATTAGGATTGATGTGTTTTATCCAAGAATGATGAACGATAGTATAATAGGATTCCTGTCAGTTGCACTTGTTGAAATTTTGTGGTGAGTTTATGTCTTTTTCTGAATTATTTGCCCTTCGTTGATTGTCGTTTCTGCATGAAGTGAAGACCCTTCAGTGATAATAACAGTGATGAAAACTCATTAAATTGTTTGCGCTTATCTAAACAGCGGTGTTTGAGAATTATTTATTAATACACTATATAGTTGCGCGTTTAATTAAAGCATAGCCTATCGAAGGGAAGATGGCTGCGAAGCTCATTAGAATGACAACATAACTCATCTACTATATTAGTCTACGTTTATTCATAAATATGGTCCTTCACCGTCAGATGTGTATTGTATTTTTTGCCAAATCCACCAATAGCAATTTCCAATTTACTGATATTTCACAGTACAGACCGAACAAGGGAGGTCAATAAACCGTTAGTAGTATTATACGCAATGTCAGACTGTTCTCTTTTCATAATTACGACGACTGATTAACATGGCGTGGAGTTTAATATCGAGCAAGTTCTTTTAATATTCTGCCAGAAAATAAATGCTGCACAAGATTGTTTGCTTGTTTATGTTATGCAATATTGCAATCTGTTAGTTTGATTCTTTGTTAAGTAAATCAGCTGAAATCAACACTGCATGCATAATCAAGTCTTATACTGCAATCGTTTGCTTCAAAATTTTGCTAATCGGTAAGGGAAAACTAAGGGTTTAACATGAACCAAACAACTAAATGAATGAAATATTATAGCCAATTTAGGTGGTGTGCAAGTTATGTCACAGTCGCCATGTTGGATGACATTGACAAAGGATTTTGCTTGTTTCAAATGCAATGGCGATTCCATGGACGAATTATGATCTAGACAAGAAAACGAAATTCACTACCATAGCTGGAAAGAGCATCTTAAAATGAGTAAAATTGCAAAGTTTGGTTGCGAATTGTCGAAAAATGAGGAAAATATATCTCTGGGAAGTTCGCAAATTTTGTATAGATCTTCATTACGCGCGGGAGAGATAAGCATATTTTTGAGCCGAAAAGGGATGTTTTTAACGCGCGTAATACAAATATATTTACAAAATTTGCGAACTTCACATGGCTATATTTTCTTCATTTTACAACATTTAGCAAGCAATCTTTGCTCATTCTAAGATGCTCTTTCTAGCTGTATTGCATGCTGGATTTTGTTCTTCTTGCCTTGATCAAAATTTAGTCTGCAGCTGGAATCAGCCATTTCATGGAACATGGCGAAAATCTCTTTGTCCTTTGAGTCCCATGGGAGTGGTTGTACATCACCATATTGATTTAATATAGAGAATAATACATGGGTGCGCGGAAATACCAGATTTATTTCGAGTGTTGAACATGATATCTCACGAGTGAGCCCAGCGAACGAGTATAAAGATATCATGTTCAACACGAGAAATAAATCTGGTGTTTCCAAGCACCCATGTATTTTTCTGTTTATTATATAAACAAAATTCAGTGAAAAACAATAAAACGTCCGTGGCAATGCGTTTTACAACAAATGATATTTTCACACTTAAGAATATCGTGTTTTTTACGTGTGTTTAAATACGATTTTTCTCACGGTGGCCAAAAACTCTGTATAACACTTATGTTTATATAATCATGGATAATAAAATAAATGGATAGGAAACTAGCTGACGTGACCTAATGTTTTCAATGGACTGATGGCGTGATTGGATGTTGAAACCTAGTTGCAAACCAAATTCTCAAAAACGGCATGTTTAGCAATAATAGAGCTAAACATTTTAGACAAAGAGCAAATTAATATAACCACGCCATTCTACGATGAAATCTCTAAGTATTCCCAGTCAATTTTAGCAAATATTTCAAGCACTAAACAGTGAAAAATGCATCCCAAATTTCATTAAAATTGGGGACGTCAATTTCGTAGCTACAAATGTAAAAAAATACAAAACAAAGACGAAAAACATTTACCTTGAATACTTTGTCGTGGCTTAGGCGTGTTCAGCTTAAAACAATTAGACCAGTTCATGCTTCAATATTACTCTTTTAAAGCGGAAAGTATAGCGAAACAACAAAAATGCCGAGAACTTTGCAATACGCGTGACGTCACAGATTGCAACTGGGTTGTTTTTGCTTACGTCAGCTAGAGTCCTATCCATTTCATAGTATTTTATTATCCATGATATAATAAAACAAGTTAATTCAAAGAAACATTCACACAGAATGAAAAGGACAGCTGTCATTTGCCAGATAGGATGACCCTTATTTTATTGAATAGAAATGGACGGCTTGCGCTTTAGACTAAATTTTAATCTAAGTAAGAACAACGAAATCTATCACCACAGCTGGAAAGAGCGTCTTGGAATTAGTAGTATTACAAAGTTTGGTTGCGAAATGTTGTAAAATACGGAAAATATAGCCCTTCAAAGTTGGCAAATTTGTATACTTTTGTATTACGTGCGTCACGGAATTGGTAACTAAATTATAGTTACCAATTTCCGCATGTAATAGAAATGTATACAAATTTGCCAACTTCGCAGGACTATATTTTCCGTATTTTAAAACATTTCGCGACCAAACGTTGCAGTTTTTCTAATTTTGATAACTTCTTTCCGAAAATATCCTTTGTTATCTCCGGTTTAAAATTTTTTCTAAAGCGCAAGTCGTCCATTATTTAGCTACAGTTTCTTTTGCTCCATTTCTATGGTCCAGGCTGTTATTGTCTTAACTGTACGACGGCAGAAATTCCACATTTGCACACGTGAAACGTTTAGATATACTGAGTATTCGCTGCTCTTCTTTGGGCTTCAACGTATAACATATATTGACACTATATGATTAATATATTAACGCATGAGATTAATATATTTGACTTATAAGTTTTTCTTATTTGATTACTAAGTGGCAGGTGAATGTGTTTAATCTGCATGATTTATACTCTATAAATGTTTCGTGAATAAATCATAAAAATGATTGAACCAGATATTTTTGACTTTGTATTATACAATTACTTTATGGTTTCAATTCCGTGTTTGGGAATGTTGCTCGAGTTAAGAGAAGCGCGCAAAATCACTCGCCTTCGGCTCGTGTTACGCGCGCTTTTCTTAACTCTCGCAACATTCCTGCTTGTTTGGATCAGGCCATGCAAACACGGAAACCATAAAGTAATAGGTTACAACCAATCAGAGCACGCGTTATATAATGTTATTTTATAATTTAATTTGTTCAGGGGCTGCTACTAGGGAATAACCGCTTTTTAGGCTCTCAGGTAAACCTACATGGAACACGATTTCCAGCATATTAAGGTTACATTGCAGGACACCCTTTTTGGCGTTTTGCGGAAGTCATTTAGTAAATGCATGCTCAAAATCACTCCGATTTTCAGCATTTCATATGTGAAAATGTTCCACACTGATCATTTCTTATGCGAAGTAATATATGAACTTTTCATAACTGTGGTTTCTATTTCACCAAATGTTCGCCAGTGCATGTAAAATAAGATAAAGTTGTAAAATTGACAAATAATAAAACAATTTAAGAATTATTCAGGAAAATCTTAAATCGCGGTTCTCAGTTGTTACGTTTTGAGGAGGCATTGTAGTCTTAATTCAGTAAAAAAAAGGAACGCGACTATTGGGGGGCAAATTCAAGTCCCGGATGTGTATTCGTGTTCCCATTGGTGACGAGTTTCAAATCAGCCAATGACAGCACGATTTTATATCCAGGACATGAATTTGCCCCCCCCCCCCCATTAGTTGCGTTCCCAGTTTTTAAACTCGATGGCTCCTCTAGTGTTATTTATAATCTCTATGCTTGTGAGGCCCTAGCGAAATAACCTCTTCTATGTTCCTTTTGGGTCCGGAAATCCCACTTTTCTTCGGGTTTGTATCCCCAGGTTGCAAATATTTCTGTGGCGTGTAAATATATTAACGCCAAAAATGATTGCTGTTACCCCTAGAAAACGTGGTGTGGGCCTTAATCCGACTTGTCACGACCTGACAAGCGCTTGGACTGGTACCAAAATACCGTGCAGGTGATTTTCACAATGCGAGGCATGCAGCGCAGCATATGTGGTCAACTCACAACAATAGGCAGCAGCCTGAGTGACTGAATTAGGCCCTGTTTACATGGAGGTTAATTGGGAAACCCTAGCAGGACTTTTCTGAGTCTTCACACTAGTGAGTTTAAGATACCCCGGTTTCGGTGTACGGGTACGAGTAGTGTCAACTTGTTTACTAGTTTTTACTGATGTCTGTAATTCGATCATACTTTTTCTGTTTTCTTGCAATAGACAATGGTATAATGCAAAAAATGTGCACCTTAATTGCGAGTAAAGCTACAGACATCGACGAAAATATTGCTAACCAAAATCATGCTACTCGTACCCGTACACCGAAACCGGGGTATCTTAAACTCCCTACTGTCTATGCTGTAGTTGTCGTGGTCAGCGGAGGTGATGCCACCCTCATTGAACTAAAGGCCACCCTTCTTTGGCGCGGACGGCGGATGAGACGTTGTGCGGCGCTGCGGAATGTGGGATTACTGAGCGTATAGATCAACGGATTGACTGCATTGATAGCGACCGTTGGGATGCCGATTTTATAAAACAGAACAGCGTCGATGTATGTTCTATCAGAAAATATCATTGCAAAGTACACCAATTCTGGTAAAATAGCCACGGAGAAAAGAACGGTGATTATAATGAGCAAGCGTATCGTCTTAGCTGTTTTTTGCTGGGCTAACCGCGCGCTTTGCGAGTTCTCCCCTGTTGCTAGGTCGGGTTCCCTATTTAGCTGCCTCATATGAATGATAATCTTAAGATAGACCACAGTTATGATAATAAAAGGTATTATATTGGCGCAGGTTAGTGCTATCCAACCAACAATTGATTTCCAGCGCGGCCAGTCTTTTGCATCAGAGCTTGCAAAACAATAATACCTTGTCTTCTCCATTCTCATTTGCCCAGATGTTAATGCAGGGCCTGTAATTGTAATAACCCAGGTAAAAAGTAAAAAATATTTCAGCCGTTTTGTTGTCATATTTCGGTGGACTATGGGCTTGACTATACCAAAATAGCGCTCCAGCGAAATCGCGGCCAGCGTCAGTACGGACAGGATAATACTGAAGTATATAATGGTGGTGAAGAATCGACAAATCAGAATTGCAGAGACGTCGGATAAGCCATCTGATTGGTTGGCGCACACTATGATAATGAATTTGGCGATTGAGAATGCACTTGAGATGAGGTCGCCTATGGCAAGGTTTAGGAGCAGGAAATTATACAATGTGTGTAGCGCAGGATTGCGAACCATCACTGCTATGGTTAAACTGTTGCAGATACAGCCAGTTACGGCTATAGCAGCGTAGCATGCGAATACAGGAATGTCTGAGGATTCGATTCGGCGACGATTTGAATTGTCGTAATATTGAGAAGCGTTGAGCCATGTCGTGTTTTGGTACGGTTGCGAGGTGGTAAATGCCATTGCCATTGTTTCGTATCAACGTTTTCCTTCTGTAAGACTTTGATTCTAGGATTGCTTTTGATTACCCGTATACTAGGAGTTACTGTCGCAAGGAAAGTGCTGCCTCGCCCCCAAGGGATCAAAGGCAGCATGCACAATTTGCCGAATAAGGGGTTGTCTATATGATCCCGCTTTGCCAAGACTAGATGTGAGATGGGATTATTTTGATGGTGAAATTACGGTGCACGATTCAGCACAAAACTACATTATTTTCTAGAGATTGCAGATTATAGTTGACTGTAAACGAAAGGTTGTTCAAGCAGCAATAACAATCTTCTTGAACTACAAGATCTTCTCTACAACATTCGAGTTCTGTTAACCATTAACTATATATAACCTCTTCAAAAATCCAGCGCTGTTAAATGAAGCAGTTTGTAATAGAACAAGTCTTTTTACTGCATTTGAGCTGAAGGGGAATCTTTATCTCTTCAACTTTCTCGTCTCATTCAACAAATGTTTCATTCCCATTACCATAAACTATAAACAAGCGTTTTACCCGACAAGTTTGTTCGTTTAATACTGCGTACATGTATTTGCATGTACATTGCCAAACGATTGTGCACTCGATTTGAACTGAAATCTGAAATGTATGTATTTTTATCGACGTTTTGTCTCCCTTTTTTCCTTTATTAGGATTGAGGTGTTTTATCCAAGAATGATGAACGATAGTATAATAGGATTCCTGTCAGTTGCACTTGTTGAAATTTTGTGGTGAGTTTATGTCTTTTTCTGAATTATTTGCCCTTCGTTGATTGTCGTTTCTGCATGAAGTGAAGACCCTTCAGTGATAATAACAGTGATGAAAACTCATTAAATTGTTTGCGCTTATCTAAACAGCGATATTTGAGAAATATTTATTAATACACTATATAGTTGCGCGTTTAATTAAAGCATAGCCTATCGAAGGGAAGATGGCTGCGAAGCTCATTACTATGACAACATAACTCATTATTTACTATATTAGTCAACGTTTATTCATAAATATGGTCCTTCACCGTTAGATGTGTATTGTATTTTTTGCCAAATCCACCAATAGCAATTTCCAATTTACCCTATTATTCGGATAGGTAACTTTCCTAAATTATTGCTATTGGTTAGTTGGGCAAAAATACAATACGCACGTCACGGCGAAGGACTAGATTTATCAAATAAACGTTGATCAACAGAAATGAGTTATATTGTTATTCTAATGAGTTTCACAGTCATCTTCCCTTCGATAAACTATGAATAATTAAAATATCAAATTAACTTGCAGGTTACAAAATCTGAAAGATGTCAGTTTTAAAAACAATAACTGTCATTATTATATGGCTTTTCAAAATTCTCTATTCTGATTGGTTGACAAGCGGTCCGTAAAAACCCATATCCGTATTTTCCGTATCTGGACCGGTGTTTTTTTGCTTTTTAATTTTCCAATCGTGTGTCATTAAAATTCACAGATAAAACTTTCAGACAACCAAATTGTTTTTGATTGAGCATGCATGCCTACCGTATATTGTTACCCAGTGAAACTGACGATAGCCGATTTAACTCGCACGAAAAGCATATGCTCACAGACTCAGTTCAGCCATATAATAAACCGATTATTGACCTCGCTTGTTCGGTCTGTACTGTGAAATATCAGACCTCTGTTTTTTGCATACTAAAAAACCTCGGTCTGATATTTCACAGTACAGACCGAACAAGCGAGGTCAATAAGCCGTTAGTAGTATTATACGCAATGTCAGACTGTTTTCTTTTCATAATCACGACGACTGATTAACATGGCGTGGAGTTTAATATCGAGCAAGGTCTTTTAATATTCTGCCAGAAAATAAATGCTGCACAAGATTGTTTGCTTGTTTATGTTATGCAATATTGCAATCTGTTTTTGATTCTTTAAGTAAATCAGCTGAAATCAACACTGCATGCATAATCAAGTCTTATACTGCAATAATTTGCTTCAAATTTTGCTAATTCGTAAGGGAAAACTAAGGGTTTTAACATCAACCAAACAAACAAATAAATGAATGAAATATTATAGGTGGTGTGCAAATTACGTCATCGTCGCCATGTTGGATGACATTGGCAAAGAATTTTGCTTGTTTGCAATGCAAATGGTGATTCCAGCTATAATGGACGAATTTTGATCTAGACAATTAAGAAAACGAAATCCATTAACATAGCTGGAAAGAGCATCTCAAAAAGAGCAAAATTGCAAAGTTTGATTGTGAATTGTTGTAAAATGAGGAAAATATAGTCCTGTGCAGTTCGTAAATTTGCATTTGAGTATATAAATATATACCAAATTTGCAAACTTCACAGAACTACATTTTCTTCGTTTTACAACATTTAGCAACCAGTCTACTCATTCTAAGACACTCTTTCTAGCTGTGTTGCTGGATTTCGTCCTTCTTGCCTTGAGAAAGACACGAGCTCGTGATTTTGATCCGCCATGTTGTTTTTAATTCGGCAAGTTGCACGCATGCGCAAATTTTCCTATTCAGGCGCGCTTGTCGTTTGCTCGCCGCACACGAGAATTTTTTTGTCACGAATGACGAAAAATATCAAACATGTTTGATATTTGGTTTACATGTCACGAATGACGAAAATGCCGTAAATGTTGCCCGCACACGAGGAAATTTTGTCGATCCAACTTGTCACGAATAACAAGTACGCGCGACAAGTGCGCTCGTGTGCGGCGGGCTTTAGATATATGTGCCGCTCTTTCGTCGGGCCTAAAACTGACTATCAACGTATAACATAGATTGACACTACATGATTAATATTTTAATCATATATTAGCGCATAGATTAATATATTTGACTTATAAGTTTTTCTTATTTGATTACCAAGAGGCAGGTGAATGTGATAGTTTAATCTGCATGATTTATACTATATAAATGACAAAATGTTTCGTGAATAAATCATAAAAATGATTGAACCAGATATTTTTGTATTTTAATTTGTTCAGGGGCTGCTACTAGGGAATAATAATATTTTTTAGGCTCTCAAGTCTCTACATGGAACAAGATTTCCAGCATATTATAAGGTTACCGTAGTACACATAGGCGTACCGGGCGGGGGCGGTAGCCCGCCCAGTTTTTTGGTCAGTCGGGCAATATTCGATCAACAGTCGGGCAATTTTGGTTTGCAATAAAAAAAATTTTCTTTCCGCCCCCTAATTTTTTCCTTCCGGTACGCCCATGGTAGTACACCCTTTTTGGCGTTTTGCGGAAAATCGGAAAATCGCTACTGCGCGCTCAAAATCAGTCCGATTTTCATCAAATTTTCACCGAATGTTCGCCAGTGCATGCAAAATAAGATAAAGTTGTAAAATAACGTAAGCATTATTCAGGAAAATCTTAAATCGCGGTTCTGAGTTGTTTTTCTGGCATGGCATTAAAGATACCTTCATTGGTATATATAAGCATACGTGAAAGTAGCTCCTGTGCCGGCGTCTTGTTCTATTTTTGAAAGAGGTAAAAATTGGCAAAAGTTACATTTTGAAATCGAGAAAAATAATACGTGCAATGTGGGCTCAAGTTAGTCAAGTATTTGTCAGCACCCATACGCATAAACAAAGCCGTGCGCATCAAAACCTGTAAAACATGAATTAAATTAAACCAATCTCGTTCCCAAGAGTATGCCTGTTCGCGGGTTATGTAGTGGCATGACTACATAACCCGCGAACAGGCGTACTCTGGGAACGAGATTGGAATTAAACTGGTTAGTTTGGTTTGTCAATGTCTCACCCACTGAGCTATAGTCTCACCCAAAATCTTGCGATCTTGGGCGACGGCGACTTCAAAGATAGTACACAATTTCGGCAGAGTATCCTTTCCCTCCGCCGTGAAAAGGATACTCTGCTAGCAGGGTAAGTAAAATAGAAGGGTGCATAAATACTAGATGGCCATCTCATGATTTGAATTGTGAAATAAAACTTGAAATTTTTGTTGAATTTAAAATGTCTAGCGAGGAAAAATTGTTGTGTTATAATCGTGGTTGGGTCAAAGTATTTGAGGAAAGCGAAAATAAACGGCTAAAACGGGTTAAAATTGCATTTAGTGCGTATTTTTGAAATCTTTGACCAACTTTGGTAATGCCCCCCGTCTCTGTGACGTCATTTTCATACGGGACTTCGCGGGAGTTTTTGGCGGGAAAATTTCTCGAGAAGACGAAATATAATTTAAAGAGATGGCGTCCGTTTATACTTGGGCAATTTTGTTTTGAAATAACCGCTTATTTTACGTTATAGCGACTAGCTCGTTGTGGAAGTTATAACTCAATGGAAAGGGAAAGTGTTTATTCACTAGAGAGGAAAATACATGCAGTTATTGTGACTTTACTTGCTGTGAAAGACGGCCCGATAAACTACTCGCTGTACTGGTTTATTATAAAAATTTCTACTCGCAAATTCGAGCATGGATAAAGATACAACGCTTGAATGAAAGGACAGCCTGTGTTAATGCGTTATGGTAAGTTTTTAACGGGCTTTTGGTAATAGTTTTTAGTTCTAAAAGTCTTCTCTCGAAGCTATACTTCGATTCATTTTGAGTAGAGTCATATTGTACTGATTGTAGACTTTCGTTAAATTGTATTTTCTCTTTCCCCAAATCAACAAATATCGATAAAAACACCTAAGGATGCAAAAGATCGTTTAAATATACGACAGATCTAGATTACAAAAACGTTTTCAAATTAAGTTACATTGCTCCCTACTTAAATATTTTGTCTAACGCCATATTATTTTTAATACATGTCAAGGAGAGAGCACGGCAGACTATCTGCCCATGTGTCTAGTTAATACCAAGGGTGGGTTGACTACAAAATTTTTGTAGTTCACTATAACTACAGCTACTGTTTTAAAAATGTAGTCAAAAACTACTGGCTACTTGAAAATTGTAGTTCGCTACAGTAGCGAACTACAACTACTTTGCTACTACCCACTCTTGGTTAACACATTACTGCAGATTCAGGTAGACTGT